TTTAACCCGATGGTTTTAATTAAAATATACAGTCCCGATCTCTTGGACTACAGGGGTCCAATAGATTTGTGGTCACTCACCGTTGGATGTAAATTCAACGGTTCACTCAATCTTGCACTCCTTTTAAGAAACTTTTTTGAATCATTGGATTAATATCCAACGGTAGGTGACCACAATTTCTTGGACTCCTGTGGTCCAAGAGATCAGAACTGTAAAATATAACCCCAAATAGATTTGTTCCATAATAAATAATTTAGGAATTGAGTGAAAAACTCAAAAGAAGCAAGCAGTTTTCAAAAACACCCAAAAACTTTTCAAAATGACGAAAAAACCATTATCTTTAGCATCAAAGACATGAAAATTCTAGAGCTCTTTCCTTCACCAAAAACCACAACAGCATGTGAAGAAACCAGACCTGCATGCAAATATTTTGTCTTCAAGTAACCAGACCATATGAAGACGTTGTCACTTTGCATCTGCTCAACAGTTATTACTGCGCAACGACAATATCAGAAATAGTATTTTTGTCTCTTTGTACATATTTTTAAGTGTATTGTGTCTTAAAAGACAGAAGAATTGTTTGTTTGCCATCAGTTGGCATGTGATGTATGAAACTCCAGAGAGAGATAGAGATGGTGTCAGATAAAGAGGTTTCTCCTCTCATCCTTAGTCATTCTTAGTAGAGTCGGTGAAAATAGTGTATATAGTTTGTAACTCCGAAGAGAGAAAGTACGATAACAACACCATAGAAGAAAAAATCTCAGTACTTCCTCCTTCAACTTTCAAATCAATAAAACTTCCTTTGTTCATATACTTTCTCTTATTTTCTTCATACACTTTCTAACTCCGACCACTGTTAATACCACCAATCATTGTTAATATCTCCTGTCACTGTTAATACTTGGTTATAACAGTTCCAGCAACAAAAGAAATTAAGTAAGTCTTTTTCTCTTTTATTTTCTTGGTTTTCTTAGCAGACTTCTTGCTTCACATGGAGTTCATGCTTCCAACATGTTATCTATATTATGTAGATCTTCTTCTCCTAAGCTATTCCAGTATGCATTGTCGTTGTCTTCTGCTGTAATTTGTTCTGCTATCTGATTATAGATTTCATCAAAAACTTTTGCTCCTGTTGTGCTTATCCTGAATTCATATGTGTCATCTAGTCTCCTTGATGTAGAATCTGAATAAATCTTGATAAACAATTGATGAAGGAGGGTCAGACGATCATCATTGAACAATTGTTGCTCAGCTATAATTGATCCTCTATATTTTTGGATGTCCTGCTTGGTAGGAATCCCTGTTTTTGCTGATTCTGCCAGACTAAGCAGGTCCATAAAAGAAATAATAATTCTATGTTGTGCTCTATCTGGGTAAATGTCATCCTCAAACCATTCTGGGGGTATGGTAGTGAAATCTAATTTTACGTTTTTCCAAAGAGGAAGATAAAAACTTATGACTTCTTTTAATTTTGAGGAAAATGAATCTAAATGATCACTATCTACTTAGCTAGTTTTAACATGGTTGAATATAGAGAACTGCATTTAGCGCATAAACAAAAAACTATCATAGTTACTCCAGCATTTTTAGTAGAGCATGGTTATTTAGGTCAACTTATATTAAAGATAGTGATCATTTAGATTCATTTTCCTCAAAATTAAAAGAAGTCATAAGTTTTTATCTTCCTCTTTGGAAAAACGTAAAATTAGATTTCACTACCATACCCCCAGAATGGTTTGAGGATGACATTTACCCAGATAGAGCACAACATAGAATTATTATTTCTTTTATGGACCTGCTTAGTCTGGCAGAATCAGCAAAAACAGGGATTCCTACCAAGCAGGACATCCAAAAATATAGAGGATCAATTATAGCTGAGCAACAATTGTTCAATGATGATCGTCTGACCCTCCTTCATCAATTGTTTATCAAGATTTATTCAGATTCTACATCAAGGAGACTAGATGACACATATGAATTCAGGATAAGCACAACAGGAGCAAAAGTTTTTGATGAAATCTATAATCAGATAGCAGAACAAATTACAGCAGAAGACAACGACAATGCATACTGGAATAGCTTAGGAGAAGAAGATCTACATAATATAGATAACATGTTGGAAGCATGAACTCCATGTGAAGCTCTCATGATAGAAGAGGCATCAGGATCATCATCCCACGTGAAGAGACCATCACAGCAAAAAGATGTAGCATTCCAAAGCAAGATAAATCCAAACCCTTTGGCTCCATACGGCATCAGCTGAAAATAAGAAGAAGCAAGACTCCTTAGGCAATATAAAAATAAATAAGGGCATTATTGTCCAAACACTTTAATTTTATCCTTCTTTATAAATATTGTACCCATTTTGGGTTTATTTATAAGTCTCCCTAAATAATTTTACTTGGATTTGAATATGAAAAAAGTTGGTTCCTTAAAACTGAGAATGAGCCTCCTCAAAACAAATGGAGTTTTGAAACTTGTCATATATTTCTCTAACTAATTTTTTCTTTTAAATTTCTTTAATTTTTTCTTTTTAATTAATTAATTAATTTATAAGTATTATAACTCTATTTATTTTGAGGAGGAGCTCGTTCTCAATTTTAATGAGTTTGAATATTTGTTATTGGTCGGATACTAGGATTTGAATATAAAGCTGATCCAAATCGACGCTTGTCCACATTTACATGCTAGGCTTGCATACGCCCAAATTAATCGCAAGTTAGCACCTCCCAATAACTGAATAATTATGTGGGTAATTTCAATTTGGTCTCCTACAGTTACACCCTCATGTGCGTACGAGCATTTTAAATTTCTCCCTCTACCCACCCAACCTCCTCTTAACTCAACTCTCCCTGCCCTGTAGGCTGTAGCCACGACCCACCCCCCAACTCATTCGTTCTCTTTGTCGGTTCTGTTGGGTGGCTGTGGGAATGGTTGGGGAGAGGCTGTAAGATTGGACCAAAATACCCCTCCATACCTCAGTAAGTGGACCAAAAATTGTAAATCATCCTTTAATTGTTTGGAATTCAAATTACAGGAGCCAAAAATGACTTTTGGACTTAATTTTACTAGAATTTAGAGAAAAAAACTCATCTAAATCCAACCGTGCCTAGCTCAACTTGCGAAATGGACCTCGTGAATTCTCAGGTAGCAAAACATCATGCCACATTGCTTGTGAAAATTAGTCTACATTTGTTTGTCTAGGATTTCTACTTCATCAAACACGAAGAAGAAGCGAAGCGAAGGACAATACAAGAATCGACAATTCAAAGTAAGTTAACCAGCAAGGTATTTCAACGTTTTAGTTGCATTTCTCTAGCAATACAAGGTAGCCATTTTTCACCCCTTATTTTCTTCAGTTGAGCAACTCTTTCCTCTTCTCTTTTGGCTGCTGCTTTTGCTGCTTCATCTTTAGCTTCTAGCCTAGACAATGATCTCTGGCATTTGTCTCTTGCTGCAGACATTATGTCTTTCCCATCAACAACAACAGATTCGAGTCGCCGTCTAAACTGCGATCCATTTAGACAATACCACAAATGGATAAGGAAAGTAGAGCCATTGTGTAAACAAGAAATCACCGACTCTAACTAAGATTCATGGATAAATATGCAAACCTTCTTTGATTTCTCATTAATTTCTCTTCCAGGAAGAATTCTTGGTCTCTTTCTCAATGGTTGTTCATCTGACAGCATTCACATAACTTTCAGTTAATCATGCAAACAGTTTGGCAATAGGCAGTGTGGAAATACATCAGTAGGATGGCACCAGAGAATGGCCTACTCTCCAATTCAAGCATTAAAAAAAGGCATGTTAAAACTCAAAAATTATCCTATCCTGACACAACTTGGCTAAAAATTAGCAGAAACTGGATGATATCACAAACCCAATTACATTTCATTTATAAGAAAAGTTTTCTGCTCCAAGATTACTCTTTACTCAAATCTAGAAATCGAATATTTGGGTCCTCAGTAAGAAGAGGAAAAATAAAAAAGGTCAGGTCTTATTCAGGCAGTTTCACTCAGCTATTATCTCAACAATAATAAAGCAGTAGGTGGACGCATCATGATTATCTCCTAATCCCTTGTTTACAAATAAAACATTTGATGGGAATTACATACCTACATGATCAAACACTATCCCTGGAGGAGCATTTTTGAACAAGCGAATACAACCTTCATCTTCATCAACCACAGCTTCATCATCTGGTAAATGAATGAGGGGATCATTCACAATCTCCAAACTCTTTCCAATGATTTCATCCAAAAGTTTTTGTGCCTGCCATCAAGCTTGCTACTTTAGTTTTGCACAAATTGGGCACAAAGAGGCACATTTATATACTTCAAATTATTATCCCACAAAATGTTTATTTCACAAAGAAACTACAAACCCATTAAATTGAAAGAGATGAAAAACAAAGTACAGATAATTTGGGGACTGATTGGGCAGGCTGACCTTGATTTGGTAGTGCTTGGGCAGCTGCTGGGTTTTACTCTGGTTGTAATCTCCGCCACCGCCGCCGCCACCATTTTCCTTAGCGGAAAAACCATTCATAAACGAAGACATAACAGAGGAGGCACCCGCAGCCGCCGAGTTGATGGCTGCCTTCCACTCCGAATCTCCATCTTCCTCGCTACTGCTGCTGCTGCTATACTCGCCCATTCCTACTGATACAAATTCTGGGTTTCAGGTTGGTCTTGAGGTTATAAGCCTAGACCCATTGGGCTGTCAAAATATGGGCTTAATTATACGACATGCTTATTTTTACCCAAAATACTGATCTTTTAAAAGAAACGACATTCAACCAAAAAGGAAAACACCAAACGACGTAGTTTTTATCATAACCGCGAAACATCAACGGCAAAACGATTTTCTTCACAATCTGGAAATAGGCGTAGGCTGCGCCACACCACCTCAGTTGCAGCTTCAAAACAGAAACCTAGGGGAGTTCAGATTCTGATTGGTTGCGATTACCCAGAGATAACAGAGAGATTCAATTGGGAAAATCTCACCTAGTAAGGTCATTTTCCGTACAGATAGTACAGAATGGGGAAGAAACAGCACAGCAAAGATCGAATGTTCATCACCAACACGGAGTGGGCCACCGAATGGGGTGGCGCCAAAGCCAAGTCTACCTCCACTCCTTTCAAACGCCTCCCGTTCAATTGCTGCGCGTACTCTCTCTCTCTCTCTCACACATAAATTCGTATATTTGTATATGTAAATTCTTTTTTTTTTTCATTGCCCTCTTTGAAGTTGGTGCTTTTGTTCAACTGTTTATGCAGGCTTACGTTTACGCCTTTTGAAGACCCAGTGTGCACGGCAGACGGCAGCGTTTTCGATGTACTGTGAGTTCATCTGATTCTTTTTTCCTGTGATTGTTTCAAACTTCATTAGCGCTATTTATTTTTGGAGGTTAAATGTGACATGTATGTCGTTTTTGGATTTTGGGAAATGGGTGCAGGAATATAATTCCCTATATCCGAAAGTATGGAAAGCATCCCGTCACCGGAACTCCATTGAAGCAGGAGGAGCTCATACCACTAACGTTCCACAAGAATGCTGATGGTTTGTGCTTTTTAACTCTACTTTTCAGTACATATTTACGAAGTATGCACTCAATGATAGAGTTGATAGTGGTTCATGCATGATGCAAGAAAATATGGGATAAGACCGCCTTTAGCTTAGGTGAAGTTGGAATTCAATCTAAACTGGACCTATCATAGTGGATTGAGGTTCATTTTTTCAATCTTATGTTGAGAGCTTTTCTTGTAAAAGAAACAAGACCGAGCTGAAAAAATTTTAGGTGTGACATTCCAGAGGGGCCAAGTCTGTAAAGTACATAATTTGAATCAAGTCGTGCTGGAAATTTCTTTGCATATCTCAGACCTGTGAGTTGGAGATCAGCATAATTTTCCAAATATGTTTTT